ATAGACCGAATAATCGAGAAAACGATACTCATAAACCCTTCTCAACCTTACCTAGTAAAACCAATGGTAGCTCAACTGTTAAAGTGAATGGTACTAATGGTTAAGTAAAATTAAATAACAAAAAGTCTCAGTCAACAGGAGTTTTCAGGTTTCTTGTTTCATTTCTGTAGGTAATCGAACATGCACATTTAATTATATCAGTAGCACTTCTAAAACATGGAAACAAGCTACAGGTGTTGAACGTTCATGGAAAAGTTTAGAATTAAATACTGATCAGTTTGGGAATAAAGCCAGATATTATAAAACAATCTCCTCCGATGGTCCTGAATTATTTGCAGTTAATACGGATGAAACAAAGGTTTTTTATTTTAGCAATGGACAATGGCGTCTGTATATATCAGGAGAAAATATAAAGTGTATGATAAACTAATATGCCGCACTCATGTATATATATATGAGTGAATTATACATCCAGTGTACAAGAAAACTTAAATTGTTTCTATTTAAGTTTTTGTGAACTAGGTAGATGTTGAAAAAGCAATTTCTTTCTTTGTTATACTCCTTAATGCATTCTTTAGTACAGTGAAAAAGTACCAAGTTTTTATTTGAGATTCATGAATGTAAATCTAACTTCATTGTTTTCCGATTAGTTTGTTCTGCACGCTTATGTTTTGTGTGCCCAAGGTTATAGTATTTTGTGCTAACTGTGTCAGTTTTCACCCGTTAATCTCAGTGGATGTATCTTTCCGAGATGGACAGAGTGAGCGTGCGTTTAATGAACTTTACGAAAAGAATATAGAACACAGACACCTTTTTTTTTGAACAATTTTTTGGGGACTCTTTTTAAAAGAAAAGCAAAAAGAACTTTTAAGTCTAGCTTAAGTTAGCTAAAAGGGAACATTTGCCTAGCATGAGCTTATTGCTCCTTTGAAACTAGCTTAAGCTACATCTAAACAAATATTTTTTGATTGGACGGTTATTCGACGGGTAATCTTTTCAAAGATGCATCATCGTATACTTTATCCGAGTCATTAAAGAATAACAGGATCAGTACAACTCGAGCTACTGACGACGAATATTACGCTTAGGAAAAGTATATAAGAATGTAGGCTTCAATAATCTAGACATATATCAGAATATAAGTCTATGTATTTTTGTATTTATTTGATAAATGTAATGGGGATGTATTAGATAAAATATACTTCTTTTCTTCATTCCGACAAACAGAGAAAAATAATAAAACTTATGAATGGAATGGTTTATACTAGGCCTGTGACAGTTCATAGATCCTTGTCTGCAGTTTCTCGATAACGGGAACTGCTTTTCAGTTGTCGTTCAATGAACGGGAACGGTTTTTCAGTTTCCGTTCTGAACTAGGAACGGTTCAGCAGTTCTGGTTTCGCGAACTGGAACTACAGTTCTTTTTGAACTGGAAACTGCTCAGTGTCCTTTTGTGATTTGTTGATATATTATGTATTTCATTTCGCAAACATAAGATTTTGAACTGGAGAGCGTATGAAATATTTGAGCTTCTTTTTTTAATCTACTAGCGTTCAATCTCCTTTAGCATGTTAGCGCATTTTATGGTTCAATATGAATACGACGGTTTATTTGATGTCGTTACTTTACGTGCTTGTTTCTGAGAAAAATTTCACAGAAATACTCACAGTCAAAATAATAAAAACTACAAACATTCATACTTTGTCTTTCAAAAACATAGACATTCTTGTTATTGCTGAAGTTAGTGATAGTCGATTTTTCCTTGTAAAATTATTAGCTTGCGAAAATATACTTTCGCTAGCTACACTTGTAGCTGGTTTTGCAGTTTTCTAAAAATAACCATATCAGTATTGCCATTGTCATCAACATACACACAAGATTTCTATGTAAGTAGATATATGAAAAGTTAATCCTACAAATGTTAGCTGTCACATATCAACAGACATGAGTTGATATGTGACAGCTAAGACGGATGGACTGTGTATAATCGAACATTCTGAGTCTTGTGACAATATTTGTTTTTAGAAACAATTTTAAAAATCTCCCGAAAAGCCAGTTTTACGAAAATTAGGGTTGTCAGGCTGTTTTCAACTAGTATTAAAAAATTCATTATTCACTCAAAAAACATCAGAACGGCGTCTTTTAAAATTTATTTCGAAATCTTCTACAAACAGGATATAGAATAGCTTAAATATTCTACATGCTGAAGTTATATACATCGGATGTATTATCTATTCACTGCATTTATTGTCAACATTTTTATCGTCGCTCTCATCACTATCTGTATCCAAAAATAAACGTTTCCAAGCTGATAAATTATTTTTTTCACGATCACTCTCGTATTAAGAGTCACCGGGTGCCAGTCCTGGGACTCGTCGGACATTCGACACAACGCCCGAACTGCAGAAAATCAAGGTCTCACTTTACTCCCATTTTGAAGAGAACACGCCGGGCTATAAGCCTGTGAGAAAAAATCAATACATTGCTATGTTAATTTCGGAAAACCCAAGCTGGTTTTCCAAAGATCCTCTAAACAACTCGCTTCAGAAGTTTTTCCAAAAATTCGCTTTTGCCTACAGAAATATGTGGTCACGTGTCTAGTTTTCAAAACTGAAAACCGCAAGTCGCTATCTCATCTCTATCAAAAGTTATTTATAAAACAACCACTAGCACCGTGTTTTTGAATGGAGAGTACGGCTTGTTCAGCTAACTCTACCTGCGTATGTAATTCCGTAACGTCTTTTGATAATTTTGTTTTATTTGCAGAAATGTTTCAAAAAGTTAGAATTCAAAAGTGAATGAGCCATTTTGTAGACAATTTACTTCTCTATCGACTGACCTGGTTTTGAAAAGTTTTAGCGAAAATCTCTTGGTTAGGAAATTCAAAACACCGAGAGCTACTTTTTGCATATCTTTTTTGATAAATTTAGTAAAGCGGCTCTCATTGTGTTGATTTTCCTAACCAAGAGATTTTCGCTAAAGCTTTTCAAAATCAGGTCAGTCAATAGAGAATTGAGTTGTCAACCAAATAGCTCATTCACGTTTGAGTTCGGAATTACAGTTAGCTGGACAGGCCGAGTAGTTATTGCATTTTGGAGCTTTGCGGACGTCGACGCCGATATTTATTTCATATGACCCTAAGTCTAGACAATAATGAAGTTGGGTGACATTAATAAATTCGTTTGTGAAGAAAGGATGAATCGCAAGACAATCTGCTCGTGCAGTCACCGCATTGGCTATTTGCTACAATGGGTTTGACGAATCTGTCAACATCACAGTTCGCGAGCGTCGTCATCATCACTGTAAAGGAAAAATTTGCGACCAGACTAGGATTCGAACCCAGGACCTTGACATTCTGTGTCTATGCTCTAACCACTAAGCTACCTGGTCGACATCTCTATCCGTCACACACTTGTCCTCCCAGATGCCAGCACGTCCTCGTGCTGCTCTGTTTCTAACATAGGTTCGTTGGCCACTGGAGACGTTATACACAGCGTTCCTGGCGAGATCGCCATATGTAAAGGAAAAATGTGTGACCAGACTAGGATTCGAACCCAGGACCTTGACATTCCGTGTCTATGCTCTAACCACTGAGCTACCTAGTCGACATCTCTATCCGTCACAATCACCATCAACGATCATCACATGTGTTGTACTGCTCCAATCTGCTGCTCGATTTACTTGTCATCCTAGCTCATGCATAACCGGAAAGAATATTCAACTGTCAACACGCACAATCAAAGCCACAAGATTCGGTCATATAGCCGTCTTCCAGCTTTTTTACGTCTGTTTTTCGTTTTTCTACTTAGCTATCTTTTTGCTCTGTTTATTTCGGTGTGTTATCAGCCGATGAGACAAGTATCATCTGGTTGTAGCGGGGGAGATATTAGCAAACAACATCTGGCCGCTTCTAACGCGTAGATCAGATAAAGAAAAAGAATCAATTACGGGATGCGTCAAAATAATGAGACAAATTTGTCGACCACTTTTATCCTACTAAATGTTACACAATAAAAAAAAAGCGTCCAAAAGTTGAGGCGTTTTTTCATCCCATCCTGGTATGCTGTTTTGCTGGACGTTTCACTTTCTGAACGAAATTTTTCGTGTGTTTTTTTGTTAGATGGAAAAACAAAATTTGAAAAAAGATTTCCATTTTACTCAGTTTTGAACGCACTATACTTTGTATTCTGCGGGAACGATCCACTATCGCAGAAAATCAGTCGTTTCTGAGATAAGCTAGTGCAGTGAAACGAGTCATCTATGCAGTATGCACTTAAATACTATGCTTGGACGAGTTTTGTCGACGCTTTTTTTAGTATACTGTTCGTGGACGTTTTCTAGTGGGCGCTGTTATAAACGCTTTGTTTTTCATCGTGTATTCTTAATAATATATACAAACTTTTTTGTCAACTAGCAACGAGTCAACTTTTTCTCTAAAATTAAAAAAAGAGTTCTCGTTTATCCCGATTAGGTTCAGATCAAACTTCTTTAACAATAAATGTTTTTATATATTTGTTTCACTCGAATTATTGATAACTGATATAACCATATGTCGACGAGACAAATGAATTAAGGATGGCATAGCAGTTGCTGCCGTTCGTTCTAGGTTGTATGTTATATTCCGCTCAACCGAAAATTCTTGTAGGCAAAATCTGAACGATACTAAACACTCTTTTCGTTAGCCTTGACCTTCTACTGTTAAATGTGACGGTTTTGAAAAAAGCTTCTTTATGTATAGAATCATACAGTTATAGAGTATTTCTGCAGTTGAAAAACATTTTCGAAAAAGCAATAAACCTGTTTTGTTTTATTTGGCTTTTTGGCCGCGCGATATATAGTAGTAGATATATAGTAGACGTGTATGAATGTTCCTTTCTCTATTTGTTATGTGGTTTTTTTTCCCATTTCTTTCACTAGATCTTTTTGTCATTATTACGTATAATTCTTCTTTTCTCTATCACCAATAATAATGGCGGTTGTTTCTCTTTCAGTGGGTAGAAATGAAGTATATAATTGGTGATCTCTCTTTGCAAAATAAATAGATTATTTCGGAGTGGAAGGAAAATAGTCAATGGATCAAAACGTTTTTCAATAAACTTTCAGATTATCAACAGATATGATTTTTCTTCTACAACAATTCTGTAGATCGTTTGTTACTTCCAACTAGAGACTTATCTGGTGTTGATTATCGTTGTTATTTCCTGTTCAACACTCTGTCATACAGTATCACTGCTGAAGTTTAGAACTTGTGGGAAATTTCCGCGTCTAAGTTACATAAGATAAATCTTATTTATTATTGGGTTTTTCTATCTTTTTCTCTTCATTTCTTGGTGTTCTCCGTTTTTGTGTGTTAGTAGTACATTTCCTAACGAAAAAAGACAAAAACCTAATCTGTGCTCGGGTTATTTTTATAGATTTTATTCCTGCAAATTAATTAAACAAAATGACGCAAATTGAAAAAACAAATGTTCAATCAATAACAAACATTTCTAGACAACATGATTTAATTGTTGAGTTAGTACACAATGGCCCTGAAGAATTAGAGAATAAAACAAATTACAAAAATCCAACAGAATTCGACGATAGAAGGGATGACCGTCGCTTTTTTGGTAATGCCAACGATATTTCGATCATACGGTGCCTTCATGGTAATAGCTTAATCGAAAAACGTTTGCAATTTTTAAAAGAAATTGATTTTTTAAAAGATTATAAAAATCCTTGTCATACAAATCGATTGTTAATTGAAATAATCAAATACTATATAAATACACATCTAAAAGAAAATGAACATTGTACGTTGGAACAACGAAATAAAATTGAATATTATTTTAGAAAAGTACTTAATTCAAAAGAACATAATAATTATCTTGAATATTTTATTAAAGCATATACATCATGTGATACCGGATTTTATAAACATATAAATAAACATTTAGCTCAATATCTAGATTATGATACTAATACCAAGGACGAAACGAACTATCAATTAATTAAGCGACCATGCATTTAGGACATCTGTTTTAAGTAGGGTAGGAGGAAGTACTGAAAATCGGGCAATACTGGAACATATGCGTGGAGAAGTTTAGAACAAAATCCTACGCCCGTCGGTCGGCCAAGAAACGTTTGAGAAAAACGCCGATTTTTGTCTTGAGTTTTTTGAAAATTTAATAAAACTTACTCTTTTGTTTACTGTCTGCTTAACACCAACCAGGTATCTGTCATTTTTCAGTAAATGTTAATCATGAAGAGCTGTAGAATCTGTGTTCTTGCCTTCCTGACTATTTTCCAATGTACGGCGACTTAAATAACCTGAATTCTGGGACGGTGAAATGCGATGTGGTGAGTTGAAGTATTGTATGTAGGCATGCAGCAGTCCAATTCGACTGGAGATTGGTAGAATTGGCACCAAGCCGGGATTAGTACCAGTTAGGGTTGGTAACAATCCCTCCAATCTCCAGTTAGACTTGGTACCAGTCGGACTGGTCGATCAGTTAGGCTTGGTACCAACTTTACTTCAAAAAGTTCATCCTCTCAGAAGTTTGCTCTTATTTTTCTGTTGACGAGGTTTATTTTAGTCCACTAGGCCTAGTTTTAAAATTATTTAATGAATAGATCACCTTGAATTCCACCATCACCTATGAAAAATTTCTTGGCTTATAGTTGGTGTCGTTAACTCGATGACTCATCATTTTACAGTCTAATTTTGCGGTCTCACCATCTACTATTAATTTGCCTTTGTTGATTTCGAAACTCTGCTAAATTAAAGAAGCATCTAAACGTTGAACTTTTATGCCACTTTCAGGTCTTAAGCGTGCCTCTCCCCTCCTTTTAGGCTTTCCGTAGAAATGCTGTGAAATAAAAATTAAAAGTTCCCAGGCCTTCGTATTTTCAGAACTGACTGGAAACTCAATGGAGCACTTTTTCGTTTATATTTCAAATTTTCAACTATTGCCGTTCATCAGTTTTTCAGAAAACTGGGTTTTTCATTGCCCCACATTAGGGCCCCCCTTAAATTCCATCCGATCGAGTTCAAAATTTTACCAGGGTCATTCCGCAGAGGTAATTTTGGGAAATTTTTCTGAGACCTTTCCTGGTCGAGTTATAGGAAAAATAATGAAAAACGTCTCAGAAACCAAGTTTTTCAATTTTAGAAACCCTGTAAGTCGGTAAAGAATTCTGAAATAAAATTCCAAAAAATTACGTCTGCACGAGTGTTTTGAGTACCTCTGGAAAAATTTTTAACTCGATCGGATGAAATTTAAGGGGTCGTAATGTGACACAATGAAGCGACAGTAGAAGAATTATTACAACACCTAGATGGTCATTCGTGATTCACAAAATTAGATTTGAAGAGCGGCTGCTATGAAATTCCAATCCAACAACGAGACAAGGAAAAGACAGCATTTGTCACTCAAGATGGCTTATATCAATTTGAAGTGTTATCAGTAGGATTAATGAATGCTCCACCAACCTTTCAACGCGTGATGAACAACATAATTGGCTAATAACGGTGGGACTAGTGCTAGTGTATCCTGACGATATTCTCATATTCTTAAACACATTTGACGAGCATATGCAACATCTTCAAGAGGTATTAACTGTGTTGAATGAGCATCAGTTCATGTTGAATCCGGACAAATGTTCGTTGGCCAAACAAACAGTTGCTTTCCTGAGTCATACAATCACAAAAGACTCAATCATTCCACCCAAGGAGCGAATCCAAGCCATCATCGACATTCCTCAACCGACCACATTGGCTCAAGCAAACAAATTCATTGGGTAAAGCGGATGGTACAAGCAATTCATCCCAAAATTTGCTAAAATTGCTGCTCCTATCCACAAAGTTACAAACAAAACAAAGAGCAATAGACGACAATTCTATTGACATAACGCACAAATCAAAGCCGCCAAAAAATTAAAGAAATTGTTAACCAGAGAACCATTGGTTTTAAGATATCCCCATCCAACCGCACCATTCATTTTGGTTACAAATGCATCGGATTATGCAATTGGCGGCGCATTGAAACAAATTGTAGATGGGGAAATGCATTATAATTATTTTCTCTCTAGACTGCTGACGTCAACCGAGAAGAATTACAAGACAATCGAACGTGAAGCATTAGCCATCTTTTGGTACATGAAAAAATTGAAACAATATTTGAGTGGAAGAGACGTCATCATCCATACGGATCACAAACCATTGGAACAATTTCACAAAAAGAATAAATACAACAGCAAACGAATCGAAGAATGGCTCCTCAAAAATCAAGACATCATTCCGCAAATCGTCGATGTCAAATACAAGAAAGGAAGCACTCATGGCGATGCCGATGGAATGTCAAGACCGGAGCTCAATAAACAAAAGCAGTTATTGAATGCCATCACGAGATCAATGGCAAAATCCGCCAGTCACCTATCACCAAATGGCACCAGCAGCAAACCACCCTGAATAACTAACCATGATGATGGGGCACCAGCGCAGATGATATTTGACTTCAGTTTGGCACGAATAAATGAAGAGCAACAGCGCGATTCTGAAGTATTAAAGATCAGAAAACAGCTGAAAACTCACATACCATCTAACCCAAATTTCATCATAGAAAATGATGTTCGGCTCATGAAAATCATATTCGAACACTTACAGTTTATTTTTAATCTCTCGCAACGATATGCAAGACTATAGAGAATAAATATGAAATTTATACATATGTATATGAATATAGATACGATCATGGATCATTCTTACTCTTCTCTCATTCTCTCATTTTTCTTTTTTCTCTCTTAATTCTCCTCATTCATTATAGAACATAATTTTGATTTTGAGATAAAACAAAAACTTATGTCCTTCTTTCACTATTCGTGGTTATACGATAAACTGTAAAAGCACTATTTCTCCTTTGGTGTTTCAGTTCTACAATCGAAGGGACGCTGCTTACGAATATGGTAGCCGTTAGAGCCCGTTGACCTTTCCTAGCGTCTCTCTAGAAAACCGGTTTTCTAGAAATCCTCTGAAACAATAGCACGGTTTTTCCAACCTGTTGAAATTGTAGTCCATAAATGTTGCATCAAAATGAGACGTCTCCCAGTTCTCCACGATCTTTCTCTGCAAAGTTACAGAACTTACAAGAAAAGCTGTAAATGTTCGTTGCCAGCTCAAAGCTACAGAACGGTTTGACAGAGCGTGGTGGAATGACATTTTTTCGTCTTTCACGACCTCTGTCTTTCGAATCACGTCATGGATTAGGCTAAAAGTTCTTTTTCAAGCGTTCCAAACTTTTCTACACAAGATGCACTTAAAGAGAAACTCAAGGCTTTTTGTTGAAGCTTCTAAAACTCTCTTAGGAAAAGAGTCTCAAAATAATTTCGTCAAAAAACAGCGAATAATGGTAAAGTTCTTTTTTTTAAATACTTTCCTCGGTGTTCAAACTTCAAAATAAATAGTGCGTTTTGTAAAGAATTCAATTCTCTATCTTGCAGCATAGTTTTTAAAATCTTAGAACGAAATAGGTAGATTAGGAAATTCAAATCGAAAACCCCCAAAAACTAAACTAAAATTTTAAAATTTAAAGTTCAAGTCTGGTTAATAATAACGTTGATATTCGTGATCAGCGTAAAACTGCGTCGGATGATGTATGTGTAATGCTGATTCCAGAAAAAAAATTTCCTTCAACCATCTGATTCAAAGGTTACCGTTAGCGGGTCAATTCCAGAGATAAGAAGGAAAAATTAATTTAGGGCTATTCTGCAACTTAGCAGAGAAAGATCGTGGAGACCTGGAAGACGCCTCATTTTGATGCAACATTTATGGGCTACAATTTCAATAGGTTGACAAAACATTGCTATTGTTTCAGAGGATTTCTAGAAAACCGGTCTGCCAGAGAGACGCTAGGAAAGGTCAACGGGCTCAAACGACTATCATATTCGCTAATCAGCGCTCTTGATTAATATAAACAGCCAGGTTCGAACAAAATCAGGATGTATCACTTCGGGAAATTCCCTCGTTACCTTACTGGAAGCGAGAAGCCCAATCTTCTCTTTCTTTTTTTGAAGAGCGTATTTATAGTTCTTCTTTTTTGATTTATATCTGTTATAATATCTTTATTTTTGTTACTTTGTTTTGTTTGTGTTTGGCCTGATTCATTGCTATTTTCGGTCGCTGAGCTTTGATGACTCTCGTTTTTCGTGAATAAAATAAATTAATAACTGTGTGAAGAACTGAATTATCTAGTTATTCCACAATGTTACACCCGTTTTTTCTTTGGGAACATAGTGTAAAAGGGTGAAATGTTTAATTCGTAATGATGTCGCAAACAATAACAAATGTTTTAATTGTAAAGCATATTAAAATCATTTGTATGTATGGCACCAATGGGAGTGTTGCTATATACAGATGAATTTTGCTAGAAATAGGTGACAAATTTCCCACTTTTTCATTCCACATCTGAATCCGATGAAATTTTGCTGCCCACCCATTTTAGTCTATGCTGATTCTAATGCAATTAAAGCTGACTCATTAAGACCCCGTATAAAAAGTCAATTTTGCTATAATGCTATCATCCAGAGCTGCAACTTTTCTACTATCATTTTCAATAAATCACCGACTCTTTCGCGAACCGTTTGCGGTATTTCATTATAGTGTGGTACATTTGTTTTAAGAGAAGTTTCTTGACATGTTTTAGTAAACGCAACAGGCTATATTCTTGTATATATTCTTCCTCATTCGTGAGGAAGAATGAACGAGCCCAAAAATTTTTTTCAGTCAATCATTTGGAGAAATTAGTGTAACTGCGGAGATACTCCAACAGCTCTTGTACTGTTTTTGTGAGTTTAGCCTCGTTGTATAACACATTAGTAGAGATAATAAGGACCAATCGAACTGAGAAAGTACGTTATTTTAAAAATTAGAAAACCGAGTATTTCGATTATTTTGGTGACAAAATAAAACCGTAAAAAATAGTGTACATTTTGTTTAATAAGGTTTCTGGCTTACCTCATTTACTTGGTCCAGAG